GATTGAAGGTCAAAGTTACAGTCCCTGGGATCCGATTTTCGTCTCGACTGCCAAACGGTCGGGATTGTTTCGAATTTTGTCTATCTCAAGAAGTTTCTAAAATGATCATTTTTATAAATATTTGAATGGTAGTGTGATAGATTTAATGATAGAAACGTAAATAATCATTATATCTGATAAAAGCTGTAGGTAGCCGGCGACCGATACTGTACCAGACTGATAAAAAACGATTTCTCTACGGTAACATACCCTGGCGTCCGATACATATGCATTCCGTGACAGGACAATGCACATGCATGGTGATTGAGATAATGTTTGCAAAGTCGGTGGTCAATTACCATCTAACTGGTCAATTAACATGGAAAAAATAAAATCAATATCAATTACAAAGCTCTCGCTGATGAACTCGCAACTCAGGGACAACCTTCGTCATCACGTCTGGTGCGTCGTGTCCATTCTTTTATTAAGTCTTCAGGATGAGGGAAGAAAACAGCGAAAGCAGTGCAGAGAATGCTACAGAGAACTAAGAAAGACATTTCTAAGAAAGAAAATAATGAGGCAAATAAGAAAACGCAAGAAAAAACTGTGAGGACTGTGATGATATGCCCGGACACTGTTTGCCGCACTTCGAACAGTATCGCCAGCAGTTCGCAGCTTAATGCTTCAATTTCATTTTTCCATTTCTTAAAATAAATTCTAAGGTAATAGTCATACCCAAATACTTATATTTTTCATGCATTGCCACAATCTGATACTTATAATGTAATTTCGATTTTTTATATTCCATTTTTAACTTGACATCGCAAATTTATTACACAAATAATGTATAAATTATATATCATGAAAATTATTATTATTTTTAAAAAATAAATAAACTTTCTCATTTCATTTTCGATATCATCCACTCGTTCATTCACATTAATTAACTCGTCATATAAACAGCATCGGACACAATAAACAGATAGAGATACTGAATTGGGAATTTAGTTCACCGTTGTTGTCAAAAGTTATAGCGGTGTACCTCGAAACTGATTTAAGTAACCGACGTCTGATGCCGCTAGAAACTTCATAATTAGTGTCCTTCGCAGGGAACCGATATTGTCGGGAAAGACATTTAAGAAATATCATGCTCAGCAGCTAACGTGTTAGTAATTTTACCCTCAAGCTATTGAAAGATTAGGTTATTCCCTATCAATGGAATGTTAAATAAAATTATAAAAGCAGAGTGCATTAATTTCTGGACCATCCTGTTATCATGTTATTATATTTCTGTCTTATATCCTTTTCTAAACATACAATATTCTTAAACTAAGTGACGTTCTTTCGTTTAGTTATAAATAAACGAAACAACAGTAAGAATATAATAATGGTTGGCCTAATATCTGATTATAACAAATCGAGACTCTTAATGAATCTTTATGCAAACTTTGTTGTCATCATCATCATAATCATCCCCCTTTCTATCGCGGTTCGATGTGAGGGTCCCTCTTATAAGGTCTGTTCAGCTGTTCTGTATGGTCAGAGAGGTTTCCTGAGAAAAAGGGAGGGGTCAAAGCGAACCAAACTAGCCGTCTATAAATCGACATTCCTCCCTATCATGTCGTACTCTTAAGAATCGTGGATCCTCACTACAAAACATATAAGCCACATACAAGTCATGGAAATGAGGTATCTGCGTAAAATCGAACGAGAGACACGGAGAGATAAGATACGGAACGCCACCAAACTAAGGTGGTTTGGACATCTTCTTAGGATGGATCCAGATATGAACGCCAGGAAGACTTACGAGACCCACACCGAAGGGAAAAACCCAGAGGAAGGCCTCGCATCTCCTGGGAGGACAATGTAAAGGAGACTTTCAGGAAACTTCCAATGGATTGGAGTACGAGAATAGGATTGATGCAGGAGAGAGACAAACTGGGCCAGACTCTATAAGAAGGAAAAAACTTTGTTGTCTAATGGATAATATAAAATGATAAATGTAATCATTATATAAATAGGTACACACAAAACGCTTTAGCCCCTTTTACTCCTCTATTATTCAACCGATTTTCTTCCTTCTTTTTTTATTTAATAGCCATTGACGAGCTTTAGCGTTATCAATAAATAAAAATATGAAATAGTATGTAAACAAAAATATAAATGGTAGTTTATTCAAAACGGCTAATCTCCGAAAGTTCTTCATCGATTTCTTTTAAATTATGACACAACGTCGCAATAATATTAAGAAGTGTTTTAGTATACGTTTCATTATCATCAGGCTTTTCCTTTCAAATTGGCGGCCGAAAAACGTGATTTGCATTAAACTGTAGCGCCAATGTGGTTTCAACGATTTCAATGAAACTTGGCTAAAGTCTTCCCCTTGAAACATTTATAATTTATGTATGTAACATACTTTCCCGGAAACAAGCTGCATACATTTTTATGATGAATTCAGTATTATATTTGTGAATAACTCAAAAAGTACACTTTTTATTGATAATACCAATATTTATTTGAAAGCTTTTTTAATTCCCTATAAAATAAAAAAAAATCATCGAAATTGGACAATTTGTTGTAGATATATTTCATTTTAAACATTTAGTACTTTTTCTTTTGCAAAGTCGATTTTCATTATTTTGGTTTTTGATAAATCGAAAATTTTATATTTAATGAAGTCATCGGGACTATTATTTGAAGAGATGATATCATTGAATGTTAACTCATAAATTAAATTTAAAACTAAATTCTATAGTTATACTCATTCTTAAATTAAATACTGCACAAGCATTAGTTAATGGAACACGAATGAGAGTGAAGTACTAACGGGAGTTACTTTAAATAAAATATTTTTAATTTCAAGAATTAACTTAATATTTTCTGATACAATACTTGCATTCGACTTTCAAAGAACAGCGTTCTTATCAGTAGCTGCATTTGCTATGACAGTAATCAAATCGTAGGGTCATAGTTTTGGAAAAATGTGTGTATTATTGCGACCTCCAGTAATTTCGCGTGGACATATGTCCACTCACATATGTGGCAGCAAGCAGGGTACGTTCATCTAAAATATTGTAATTTATATTTTCAATGGCAATGGGGAAGGCTATGCAATAAACAATAACAGAACATTCAAAAAGAACATTGTTTACAGAGAAGCTCGGAATAAAAAGGATTTAAAGTGAATTGAAATTGCTTTTTTAAGTTTATTCTTTACTTGCTTAGTCATAACATTAATTTATTGTGATAATAACACACGTAAATTAAATATTTTTGATATTACTTATAAGTAATTTTAAGTACTTTTTAGCTCGATTTTTGATTGAAATTGAAATTTTGTTTGTATTAATAAATGAGGATTGTTGAATCGTGATTTACTCTTTATTTATTTAATTATATATTTTCCTCAAAGATTTAATGGCTCAGGTCGAATTTCGACCACTGGAACAATAGTAATAATAAAAACGTAAAATAGAGTGTAAAATAGATGGAAAAGAGATGAAAACAAACAAAATAAGTTAATCATGAAGAAAAGCATGATTCTAAGCATTTCGGCATTGACCATTCTTAAGATGGAGGATTCAGTGATGCTCTATTACTCTAGTCTGTTGCCGAAGATTTGGTTCTCCTATGTTCTCTCATTATCATGTAGCAGAAACAAAAATGGAGACATATTTTCTGAAGGTCTTAAGTTTTTAGTCTATAAATACAAAACTATATTGTGGTGACCGTTTCCAGACTTTATTGTTCTCATAGATTTGTGTCTTACATTAAATAAAAAAAATAATAACCACAATTTTTAAATAGTTTTTAAGCACTAACGTTATTAATAAGAATAAATATCAAACATTAACGTAAAACTAAATAACGACCTTCCAAATTGAGCTAGAAGGTCGAGGATTTGTTTTTCTATTGATTTGGAGTTAGGGAAATGCCTTTTAAGAAATTCAACTTCTATCCTCTGTTTTTCTTGTGTTCGTAAGGTTTTACTCACCTCTACAGGCTCTTAATATGGCTTGAGGACTGAAACTTTTTAAATAAATTGAATTGTGTTAGAAAAGAGTTTTTTGGGGTTCTAATTTTTTTTCTCTCACATCTTTTATTTAGATAAATTAAATTCAGAAAAAATAAAATAAAATATTCAAAACCGAAACATGAGAAAGAAATTCAGATATTCGATTAACATGAAAATTCTTCTAAATTTCCTGATTATTGTAACAATTTAATCAAGGGCCTCAAACGAAAAGTCAATTTTTATAACTATTACCTTCTATAGGACTGGTATATTTATTTTAAACTTATTTTCTATTATTTCGAAACTAGAGATTTTTCTGTGAAATTTTTGCTGCTAATAAAAATTATAAAAAATGTTTCTTTTAAAAAAAATTCGTCAAAACGTAAATTTGAAAAATTATAATCGTGCGAATCATTATTAGCTATTTTAGAATGTTTCATCGAAACTGTTGAAATAAAAATTTTAAAAAGAAGTTCCATAAAATAGCTTCAGATAAAATCACTTTTCATTTGTTTTCTAAACAAAAATGAGGAAAAATAAAACGTAATTGACGGTTATATTTTTCCCCTTCCCTTAACTATCAATTCATATCCTTTCCTATTTCGTGCTTTTGTTAATAGGAAAATTAAAAACTTTTTATTGAGGGAATTATATAAAAGATTATAAAATCTATGATGAAGTCATTTCAAGTAATTACAACAAATAAAATTTTCAATTTTTATTTATAAGATTTTATACAATAAGGTTAAGAAAACAGTCAATAAACAGTCATGATAATAAATCGTGTGTTTAAAGTAAAACATCATTAAGTAACATTTCATAATGTTAAATCACTAAGTTCATTGTTGAATCTTCCCTATGTGAATGTATATGATAGGGTTCTTGCCATTTTTATGAAGATTTTTTTTTCATTGATAAATAAGGTTGACATTCCCAAGAAAACTGAAAGTTTACTTCAAACAAAAATGTACTTAGTGACTTTTCCCAATAAACCAACAAAATGTATTCAATTAAATTTATCCCTGTAGTTGAGGCTATTCCAGAACTTGTATCGATCAGTAGCGAAGCCTTCCTTTTGTTGCCATCCTGAATTACCGATGTACAAATAGTTATGCTTGCTCGGTCGCCATTTATTCCATGAAACACTGCTTCCTCTTGGGGTCGGATTTCTGAAATAACATATTACAGAATATTGTGAAATAAGGAGTTAAATAGTATTAAATTATTTTTACCGTAATAGCAAACTTACCCATATTTGGCGAAATCAGTCCACAATTTAACCAATTTTTGGGAAAGCTTCAAGTCATCACCTCTAAGTGTTCGGTTTGTCCAAGGACGCTGCCATAAAAATTCGGATTCTTCTATATGGGGGGCAGCTGAAATATGAATATGATCAAAATTATACACATTACACAAAAAAAAATCTAATGCAAAAAGAAATTATTTTCTGGTAATGTTGGGCTGTTATACAATTTTTTAAGTTCATTTTTAAGCGAGCTGAAGCTTAAAGATTACAGCTAATAAATCATTGTTACCACTAAAATAACAAAAATCCTATTTATCATATCAATGGTTGATTATGGATTATGCAAAGTTTACTAAAATGGAATTACGATATTTTTATTGCCTGTCATAGATAGGTCAAAATTTGTCACACTAATTCATCAACATCACAATGGGAAAATTCATCAAATTATTCACTAATTTAATTTTCTAAGAGGCTACATGATGATTTTTCGAAATAACCGGATGAAAAGTTGCTGGCACATCCAAGACATATACCTATCTTAAATACATAATATCAGTTTCATACGACTTTTTGTTTTTGAGCTAGACTGATATTATTCACACAGACACACATATCATTTTGTTGGACTTTCGAAAAAAATTTTTTGATTCGAAAATTTTCACGATTGCGATACTTTCACTTACTATATATTACATATATTGGTAAGTGAAAGTAAAAAGAAAAGAGCAGAAAATTACATAACACTATAAATATAACACGATGGTTTATTATTTCTAAATATGTAAACATTGAATTTGTGTGGGATCCCACATTACTTTCATTGCCACTTCTGGGAAAATAAATAAAAGGTGTTAATATTACCATACGTAAGAATATACATATTTCTAAATTTGTTTGTTAAGAAATATAGACAAATCTCGATTGCTTCAATTGATGTAATGTTTTTCAGTAATGAAAAACATAAGCGAAGCATATTAGCTTTCCAGGGGAGGGTCGATTGCGATTGTTCATTATTGTAAATAATAAACCAAAAAAGTTATTTTATTTTGTCAGTTTTTTTTTTGTTTTTGTTTTTTTTTACTCACCAAAATACAAGGTTCTGTTGACTCCTTCATCAAAAGTGTATTCTCCTATATAATCGAAATAGTAAAAATAAACAGGTCCAGTATGAAGGTTAGCTCCATCTATCACTCCTATAGCTATCCAACTGTCAGTGTACATCTAGAAAATATCGTTAAATCGTATACCAACGCTCAATGAATAAAAGTCTATTCGTATACATTGTAGCATAGCGACTTTGTGGGACTAAGTGGGATAAAGAAATTTGTAAAAAATAATAAGGATTTTAGTAAGAGATATGAAGATATACGAATTGGCATCCACTTCAGCAATGGCAAGGTTTTAGACTTAACTAACTCAAAGATCTTGATATAAATTACCTGTGTCAAGTTGACCCAATATTCAGGCTTGATCTGTCCATCAGGAAAGTAGTACTTCCTGACTTTTCTGGTAACTTTGTCGGGGTTCGAAGCGGATGCACTGTACCATAAAGAGACTGGTGCAAGTTTGTCGAAGTTTTTATTCAACCAATCGAAATCTGTGTTGTTCTGTGCAATGTCTAAAAATAATAAGGTAAAATAATAAAAGAACAGACATTAAATCACTCCAAACTATATATACTATATCGACAAATTGGTCTTACAGTGAGTTCTCAATAAGCCTTCGCCGGAAGTTGTGCCTATGATCATCGGTACTGGTTGGTGCTGCCACTTGCTGACAGGGCCCGTCAAAAATGCATCATATCCTTCCGGTTCCAAGACAGCCCAATTCATTTCCATGTCGACCTGCCAACGCTGTGAAAGTAAAAGATATTTAAATATAAGATCAGACGTTCTCATCTTTAAAATATAATTAAATATATGATTTTTTTTTTTATTTAAACTACGGTACTGAGTAATTTTCTTTTTTCCTTTTTTTTTTTCCTTTCCTTTCTAGTCTTTTTTTCCGGGCCAGCGGAGATGGCGGAGGATTAATACCAGTGTTAAAAGTTCCACGGCACCGGGACGCGAACATGTAATTATTTTATAATGTTGTCTTCGGTTTACCCGGACATCCCGCCCCCCATTGGTACTGACTAAAATCAAAGGGAGGTTACAGACGTGACGTCACCAATTTGAATAAAATTTTTTTACTAGGCCGACAAATATTAAACTCTCAACCTAGGATTTTTGTCAATGTGCCCAAAGAGTCTAGAAAAAAAATATTTAATGTTATTTTAACATTTTTAAAATATGTTTTGTCTATACTCTGTATTGTAACTAATTAAATTCAAATATTACACTTTTTATCTAATCATTTTTTTCAAAAGAAGTTAGTCGACTGTTCTACATATCATGGGTGATAAATATTTAGGGCGCAGTCAATATAAAGTTTTTATTAGTGCCGACGTTTCAACCCAAACATGAGGGTCATCATCAGGGCGTGTTTCGAGCACTGAAGGTATCCAAGTATTCAATGAGTACTGAGTACTGTCTTTTAGGATATTTTTAAACCGTAGCTGTCCAACAGGAGAACTCATCCCACCCAAGGAGGATGACGCATGCCCTCCTTCCAAGAAATTGTATTTCTCCTCTCTTCTTAAAAACAGTTTAAGTAAAAGTTGAGTTAGAAAAATTGTATATCATATGCAATTGCACATGCTATGATCTGTTTCAAATTTTTGAATTTCATTGGTTGAATGTTCTTTTCATTGAAACTACAAAAAATATGGTTGCCAACGAAAAATCACAATCCCCTCAAAAACATGCCCCAAAAAAAAATGTATGTTGCAACTTGCGGCATATAGTCTAGTCTATTTCTTTTTTTATGACTTATTCGAAGAGAAATAGCAGATACCTCGAGAAAAACTTTTCGAAAATTTCATTATAATCGTTTTCACGTTTCATACATTTATACACATAAACAGAATCAGATATTTGTAAATAATTAAGAATGAGAAAGAGTCAGTAAATGCATTTTTTTCATACAAAGTATTAATCAATAAGTTACTTTATTCACGAAAATAATGAAACTCACAATTAAGTCGACGATTCTAGCAACAATGTCAGATCCTTTTTTGGACCTCAAACAAGAAACTGCCGCAGAAGTGCTTCTGATTGGACAACCAAGATTCTTGGCTAGCTGTTGAGCCATGGACTTGGCGAATCCAGGAGGAGACAGGGCCCAGGGGTTGTAACTGGTTCCACTTTCCGCAATGCCCTTGTGGAAAAGTCCTGTAGAAGATAGTTAATTAGTTAGTTAATTTAGACGCAGGTTACCAATATCCCTCCTATGGTCTAAGTTATTTACCCCTGCTCAGGGGGGACACGGTGTGATGGTAGACACTTGCACCTCCTGCACTCTCCCCTACCAACGTCACCTGGTTGGGGTCTCCACCGAACCTGGCGATATTCTGCTTTACCCAGCGGAGTGCCATCACTTGGTCTTTCAATCCTTGATTACCCGGCATTTCCTTATCTTCAAAGGATAGGAAACCTGCAGAGGAAAACAAATTCGAGCTAACATAATGGATATGCAAAAAAAAAAATTAATTAAAAAATGTATAGTGTTATAGTCTTTCCGTTTTAAAATGATAACCAGAGGCCATTGGGAATTTTATATTCCAACAAGAATACAAAAAAGAAAATAAATGATTCTCCTCACCTAGGTAAGCAAGTCTGTAATTGACGTCGACAATAACTACATCCTGATCCATCAGATAGTTGGGTAGGTACCATCTTTCTCCGTTGCCCATGTGAAAACCTCCAGCGTGGAAATGGACCATGACAGCCGCTTTACCTCTCGTCTGGGGTGAAGGTGGAAAGATCATTAGGGATAACACATAATTTATTTCAAACTCCAACCTTATAATTTATAAAAATATGACGGTGAAAGAATGGAAGAATGGGTCAGTTACATTGGTTTTTACCAAGTGACTTCATTAATAGTAGTTTGCATTTGTTGTGTGTAGTATATCAGTTTGATATATTAATCGCACTTAGTTTATATTAGCTCTAAATGAAAAATTGAGGTAGTGATAACCACGAAAAGAAATTTATTTTAAATTTATGTATATTTTAAATGTTTTATAGCAAAACTAAGTTTTTAAATAATTGAAAACATGTAATTGTTGACAACTTAAAACCAATGTAACTTTTAAAAAGATAAGGAAACAGGGCGTAATACGTAAATACATTTATCTTACGTTGTGCGTGTACACTGAGAGATAGAGGCAATCTTCACTTCCGAACGGTTCTGGTTTTTCCTCGAAAGTGCCATATTGCAAACAGTAAGGACCAGGTTCGGTGGCATTTCTTATGCCGATCCACTTCTCTACTTCTTTTGGGGCCTAAATTGAACAAAAAATAAAACAATATTATTAAAGTTATATATTACGATGAAGTACATAAAGACACATATATAACCGTAATGACCTGAAATCTAAGGTTTCCTACTGGAGGTTTAGCGTAAGGTACTCCAGAAAAGGCTAAAAATGAACGGCCAGCTCTGGAAGTCATTTTGTATCCGCGCACTTTACCTGCCGATGTATCCACTACCAGCGGATTTTCGGCTAAACATCCTGCCAAGAATAGTAGAAGAGTGGCTGTCTGCGATGTCACCATAGTAGATCTAAACTGAACTGAAAAGCAGAACAAATTAAAACTAAGTATACCATTAAAATGAAATCCCAAACGATTAGGAGCAGCCATGATATAAGTCTTAGTCAACCTAAGAGGTCATTTAACAAGAAACTTAACGTTTCATCATATATATGTAGAGAAGATATCGTATATCAACCTGTAGCTAAGCACAATAATTATTACAATGTTTTCACTACCTAGCATCCTGGTGATCTATGTGTATTTTTATATATCGTTAATGTTCTATAATAAGTTAAATTCAAAATTGTTTTTTCGTCTTTTAGATGTATTCAACGGGTGGCCACCGATATGTAAAAACGACGAATCTGCAACTTTGGTCTTTGAACATCTCTATGCATAAGCTATGCAAAAATGATGAAAACTATATCATTTGCAAAAAGTCTTGTCAAATATACTCTTCTGAAAAAGTAGTGAATTATTGGAATCGCCTGTTTTACAGAACACCCACGATGTCTAAGCATTACAGGTGTTCAAATAATGCGGCAAACTACTCATTTGATTTCTTTTCGCAAAATATATATATATATATATATATATATATATATATATATATATATATATATATATATATATTACAGAAGTTCTTCTTTGCCTTTTGAACACGCTTATTAATTACTATCGAAATAGTTTCTCCGAACTAACTTTTTCCATCAAACCAGTTTCGATTTTTTCCATTTCTAATAGAATTTTTTCATTTTTTCCCTCAACGATTTCTTAGTAATGCCGACGAAAACTAATCAGATCGGATGAGGAAAACTGTTGTGTATACATATAGATATATATTCAATTAGTGTTTCTTGGACCAGTATCAATTTGATTAACTATCTCTTTGACCTTCTCCTCATTTAACCTTCCAAAAAAAACATTGGTTATTGTAAATATTAATAATCACAATGGTCTGATATTTGTTACTAATCATTTATGTAATCAGAATGCCTTTCTTGAAGACATAGAAATACAGTGATGGAAAAAAGTATTTGCACAACACGTTTTTATGAATAAACTAGTTCAAGGAAACAAAAAACTTCGCTTTCCTTTGTAAAAATGAAAAGTAAATTTATTAAAAACTGAAAAAAACTTTTCACAAAAAAATAGAAATACTTCATAATCAAACAAAATCATTAAAACAATAAAAGTGCTTGGAAAAAAGTATTTGCACATTTCCAGATTTACAAGTTTATTTTAAATTTTAATAGTTATAATATTTTGTAAATAGGCCATTTGCGTCAATAATTGCTTCTAGACGTCTGGGAATTGAATGCACTAGGTTTTTAATTAAGTATACGTTTATTTGTTCCCATTCTTGAACAAGAAGTTGTTTAAGGTGATGTCCAATAGTGATAAGGTGTTTTCTTACATTTTGGTCAAGGGTGTGCTATAAATTTTCAATGATATTTATATCTGGTGACTGAGGAGGAGTGTGGAGCTGTCTTATAACACTAAATATTAACCACTCCTTTGTTCTCCACGCAGTATGTTTTGGATCGTTGTCCTGCTGGAAATAGTACTGATCCTGGATTCCCATTTTTTCGGCACTAAGTTCACATAGTCTTCCGCATTTAAAATGCCTTCGATGCTCACAAGATTTCCCAAGCCGTGGTAGGAAACACAACCCCAAACCATAAAATGTCCTCCACCATGCTTTATAGTTGTTAAAACATTTTGCTTCTTTAGGCCTTTATTACGATGTCGCCATATCGTCCTTCGACCATCTAAACCAAACAAATTAAATTCGCTTTCGTCAGAAAAGATGACATTTTCCCAAAAGCTTAAGGGTTTCTGTACGTACTCCCTAGCAAAAGCAAGGCGCTTTTTGCGATTCGTTTCACTGATGTATGGCGTCTTTCTTGGAACTCTACCATGGAGCCCTTCCGAATTCAGGACATATCTAATTGTTCTGCTACTAATCTCAACTCCAGACGTTGATTGGACCATGGTAGCCAGCTCCCGAGAACTTATCAGAGGATTTTTAAGAGCTTCTTTTCTGATTTTCCTCTTCAGCCTGGGAGTTAACTTTTTTGGACGCCCTTTACGCTTACTATTTTCAGTTGAACCACGTTCTTCATACCTTTTTAAGAATTATCTCACTGTAGAAAAATTCAACCCTAAGAAATCGGCAATTTGGCGATATGTTTTTTGCTGACTCCTCTGTAAAACAATTGTTTTGCGAGTTGCGGCACACAGTTCACATGTCTTTGACATGATAATTGTCTATTGACTAAAGGAAACTGATTGAAAGAATAGAGAATACTGGTAATAAACGATTAGAGGTAAATTAGTTAACAGACCTATGACCTATGGATACAGGAGGATTACTGCCAAAGTATACAGAGCTTGTGAGTCAAAGTGTGCAAATACTTTTTTTCAAGCACTTTTATTGTTTTAATTTTTTTGTTTCATTATGGAGTGTTGTCATTTTTTTCCAAAAGTTTTTCTCAGTTTTAACAAATGTACTTTTCATTTTTCCAGAGGAAAGCGAAGTTTTTTGGTTCCTTCAACTCATTTATTCATAAAAACATGATGTGCAAATACTTTTTTCCATCACTGTACGTAGCCGGGAACGGAGGGAAAAAGACTGTATTTGTGAGATAAGAATTGTGATATACTAACTTGTTACTCATGGCGATGTACTGAATTCTGAATCTATTACATTAAACATTGTATTTAAGAGCAATCAATTATTACATATCTTCGATTTATCACAGGTGATAAAACAACACTTGTCTCTTTTTCTTTGAGCATATCATAATGATTTTTACACTGTATTATAAAACTTACTATTCCAAGAAGTTATGGTTTACGATGCAAATTATTTTAAGCATATCTCTAAAATTTTACGATATCATTATTAAATCTGTCCAACGAGTGACAAATAGATCGATCCGGATATAAATTATTTATTTTTTTTAGCAGAAATGCGAGAGATGCGTTCTTCGATTCGCACAATTGGCATTTCACCTCGAAATTGTTGTGAACAGCGTTCCACAAGCTAGGTGTGGGTCAATGACACTTCGTTGTTTATATTTCTCTCTTCGCGCAGAAGATAAGATCCACAAAACTTACTTCTATTTTTAATTTTTTAGATTATAACCTACTATTTTCATATTTATTTACAATATATATACAGTTATGAAAATACTGTCCAATTGTGAAAATGAATCTCACCGGAAACACATTTTTGTAATTCTAGTTCAAGAACGTTGGTTCTTGAGAATAAATAAGTTTATTTCGCATATTGGGAATTATAATATCTCTTCAGAGTTATTTCCTTTCGATCTTTGTAATCAGTATAGCTTCTGAGTGCGAGCAGATATATATCTCAATTTCTTCGACAATTTTGATTATATTTGCATCGTTCATACCTTTAATCCAGATGAACCACTGAGGGAATAAGGAATAAAATCTCTACTACGGTTGGCTGTGTCTACGAAAGTATTAAAATTTCTACAGCCATATGAAAAGTATACCGAAATCAAATACAAAACGAATAGCGTTTCAGTTTAGCAACATGCTTATTGTTTATGTTTTCTGTACTCATAGAATAGTTAACATTTCCGAGGCAGAAAGTAACCATCTATGAAAATATGATATGGGTCAAGTTCTTCTAATCTTCTGGTGACAACTATAGAGTTATATTCATGATATCTCTTAGACATTGTTTTGTTCCATCTTCTTGTAGAATATGAAAAAAGCTCAATGAGCTAAATCGATATTTTAGCTGCTACTCATTCCATACAGCTTATTAGGTTTATACTGTATAAAATAAAATTAAAATAACGCATAACAAATATGAGTAAACTCCACTAAAACAAATTAATTTCGAAGTTTTTTTTTACAATATACTGCCAACAAGTAAAAAAAGAATTTAAAACATACAGAAGTTCATTAAAAAATACCACAATAATCAAATTGGCTTACACAATTGACACACAATAAATTCCTGTGTGTGAAATTTTAAAAAACAAAGAAATAAAAAGCCATTCGACAATCCAAAGAAAGATCTATATTTAAACTCACCTCAATAGCTCAACAGACCTTCTACACTGATGGCAACACTGTGCCTTGAGTGTATAAGTAGTGATTCTGCTGAGAGGGGATTCCCCTGGATCAACCATTCTGAGAAGTAAATGTCTTCCTATTTCGTTCATTGGTTTAAGAAGATATCAATCTAGCTATTTTATACATTAAAACAAATATGAGATCGTTACAGGATCGTTTTAATAAAATAGTAATATTTATATTCCATTGTACTTAACACTTGCACTTTATATAAGTGAATAACTCAATGCCACAGGGTGTTGAAAAAGCTTTAAAATAAGATAGTTTTGTGATCCATAGCAAAATTTAAGCTCCTAATATATTTCATTAATTTCTTTATACAAGCCCTTTCAAATCCTTGCTCTCATATTCCATTAAATGTGTCACTCCTTTTCAATTGGAGTAAACTGCAAGGACAAACATCGGATCTTAACAATTATAACTGTTATAATTCAAAATATGTAATATATTGAATTTACACACCTAAGTTTAATATTATTTTTGAATTATTACTGTTTTCAAAATAGTTAGTATCAATTCAATATTACTACAAAAGGTGGTAGCTTATCATCTATTCAGTTATTCATTGAAGTTTGATTCTTTTCATTGATATTATTATTATTATTTTCTTTGTGCAGATATTCCAACTGAAAACAATGATGAACTAGTAATAAAGATCCTAACATTTTACAATAATAATTGAAATTTGAGATGCTTACAAACTCTATATTAAGCATTTAATATATAATAAAACAATTATTACTATTGATAATAGCATTAAAAGCTGAAAACATAATTACATTAGTTCATTAGTTTTCAACTAAACAAATTTCTTATTTATTAGTTTTAAAAATAGACTCTTGTAAGTAATTTCAATTACATAAATTTGTTGCATCATTTTCCCATCAAGTAAATTTAATACACTTTTCCATAGATAAATTTAATTATCCAATCATATTTTCTATTAATGAACACAATAAATCTATTTTTGAAATTGTTAATTATGGTTTTTGTATCAATACTTCAAACAGAAAGAGTGAAGGAGTGGGAACGGCCAATAATTTATGGACTAATCAAACCAATTTATTTTATCCTTTTTTTTACATACTATCTCTGAAATATTTTAATTATCTTTCACAACCTGAATTATTTATCTGTTGTTTTTGTTGATATTACTATTTTAAAAGAAACTTGGATGTCATAAATTACTAGTAAACCTATTATTTTTTTTATTGTGGGTTGATAGTTGACTGTGTGAATAATTGAAGAAAATCATGGTTCATTTATTTTTACTGTTTATTATTTTGACTATAAATATAATTATTTATTTTTACTATTTTTTATATTGACTGATCACCCCAACCACCCTTCTCTTTAATTATTTTTTGTTTTTTAGGTAATAGGACTTGATAATTAATTATACAACAATTATACATTTTGAATATATTTAAAGTTCAATACACCAGCTTATCTTTATTAAGTTACAAATTATAGAAATAGCAACGCTGTTGGTTTATACTATATAAAAAACTGTTTTACATGTTTATTTCAAGAGATCCCTATAGTTGATACTTTTCCAAAACTTGTATCTGTCTTTGGCAAATCCTTGTTTTCCTTTGATGCCAGATTTACTCATCTCTAAATAGTTGTGATGCTTTGGATTCCACTTGGTCCAAGATATATCACTTCCTCGGGGTGCAGGTGTACTATTCCATCAAATCAAAAAATTCCATTAATATATATTATTTTTAAAACATAAAAGCTCTCAAAATTATTTTACTTACCCAAATTTCGCAAAATCTGTCCAAATCTTTACAAGTCTTCTTGAAAACTTTTTGTCTTCTCCTTCCAAAGTCCAGTTTACATTGGGGTTTTCCCAGATAAAGTTTATTTCTTCTGTGTGTGGTGCACCTTAAAACAGAAATCAGTCATTCACTATAATATTCAACTAATAACTCATACATTAGCTAAGCATCTCAGAACTATAATTGGTCAATGAAATTAATGGAAGAGTTTTAATGAGTCAAAAAGATAATTCAACTTAACTTCATCAATCCTAATTCCTCATTGATGACTAGATTCTTAGCACTGACTCATACATTTTTTTTAAATTATACTAGATTCTTTTAAAAATTGAGCTAATGATTATAATAGCCTCCAAATCTTACCAAAATACAAAGTTCGATTGTATTCAGGACCATATGTGTGCTCCCCTATGTAATCAAAATAGTAGAAGTAAACATCACCAGTATGGTAGTTTGCACCATCTATGATCCCAATAGCAAACCATGTGTCAGTGTACAACTGTAAAAAATAGTAATATATGAATTATTTTTAAGCTCTCTAGTTGGGATATATTACTGTATTAGTTTTCATTTGAAAGGTCATTGCTATAGTTCTTATTTTGGTTTATATTTATAAATAAGATGTATTAATCAAGAAAATAAATTTATGCTATCGATTTCGGAGAAATAGATAACATATTTTTCTATGGAGAATAAGTTTAAAATTGGTTGAATTTCCTTTTATCATTATTAAAATAATTATAGAATATCAACCTAATAAAAAATAATATTCATGATAATCATTGCCGTAATTTATAGTGAGTATTTTTCTAACCTGTGTCAAATTAAACCAACTGTCAGATGTAATTTTACCATTTCGGAAGTAAAACTCTCGAACCTTCTTGGTTATTTCTGAGGGATTTGAAGCAGTATATTCATACATAAGGGACATTGGTGCTAGTCTCTCAAAGTTGTCATTTATCCATTCCAGCTCTGTTTTGTAATAGTCAAAATCTGAAATTAAATAGAATAAAATTGTGATTGTACAAATGATTATTGAATGAAATGAATGCCTATTTTTGCACAATATAATAAATAAAAAAATCTAAGAAATAAAATTATTAAACTACAATTTAAGATTTGAATCTATCGTAAACCAACTACTTCCTGTCCTACAGTTTCCTTTAACAATACTCCACTTATCCCTGTTGAGCAAATCCGATACCTAGGACTCCACCTGGACAAACGACTAACTTGGAATCCTCATACTAGACTGAAATGACAAGAAACCGCTTGACGTTTCCGATTACTTCAGCACTTACTAGACAAACGCTCTAAACTTCCCATTAATTACAAAAGACTCATATACTTGACTATAATAAGACCTATTTGGACTTATGGAGTTGAGATATGGGGCTCTACTAAAACATCGAATTCCTCTCGCATCCAATCCTTACAATCCAAAATCCTTCGTAAAATCCTCAATGCTCCTTACTTTGTCACTAATATAATTATCCATAAAGATCTTAATGTTCCTTATGTTTCAAATCTGGCCCAATCCAGATACCTATCCTTCCATAATAAACTTCAGAATCATCCCAACCCTCTCTTTTCTAACCTTGCTTCCTCTTCAATTCCTGATAACCATCCGAGGCGTCTGAAAAGAAGATGGCCCCCTGATCTCCTAATGTAGTCATATCATTAGAGTGCTACCATGGGGTAGTTACTCAGCAAGTGTATTATATCAATTATGTCCAAATTTACTTGATGTATTTATGCAATACAGTTGTAAATGTCATAAAGAAATCAAAATAAAAATAAAAAAAAAAGATTTGAATCTGTCCAAATTTTTGGATGCATTTTTTCATAAAGATTTGAACCTAAAAGTTTTATAAATATTATGAAAATAATTTCAGCATTCTTTTACTTATTCAAAGGGAGAAGGAATCTTAAAATTAATAGATTGTACTAATATTTCTTGAAACTAAATCTAGGAAGTATATATTAAGCTGAAATTAAGCCAAAACCCCTTTACCAGGAGGGTATGCCCCTGGCCCCACCTAGATCATACATGGGCTACATCCATCTACCCAGAAAAGCAGTCCAGTTGGTACGGTACTGATCAGTGGTAGTATACTGATTAAAAAGTGCTAGAAATATTTGAGTGCGTGATTTTTTTTATTGTTTTCTATTTTCTATAACCTATTTTGCTTGATATCGTGTAGATACATACACCCCGTTCTGAGAAGGCCTTCTCCTGAGGTTGTTCCAAGCATTAGAGGGACTGGATTATGTTTCCACTTGCTGATTGGTCCTGTTAAAAATGCTCCAGGTTCATTGGGCTCTAAAACAGGCCATATAAGAGTAGAGTCAATCTGCCAGACCTGGAATTAAAGCTTTGATGAACTTTTGTTTTAAATAATCAATTGTACAGTACTCTTTGTCAAGTTAAGAAAGGACAAACTGTGAAAGAATGTTCCCACCAGTCAATACTGTGCGGTTTCGCGATATTAAAGATGTCAACAAATAGAAGCATGAAAACTAATTCAAGTGAAAATTTTAAATTTAACTTCTCTTTCTCCATGTTTTTTTGTCTACTTCAAAGTTGATTGATTCCAGATACTTTTACGTTTCCAATTCATTTACTTTTTTTTATGTCAGAGTAAAAGTAAATCAAACACATGGTAAAGATTAATCTTGTTACAACTAAAATTTTAATAACAATATTAAATATGTTCTAGTTATTGATATGATTATTGTAGCTTCTAGTGATTTATATTTTATTTTTTTTAGTTTTGGATAGGTTTACTAAATAACTTACTAAGAATTGTGTGATAGTAACAGCAATGTCTGTCGCATTTCTGGCTTTTAGACAGTTTACTGCAGCAGTAGTAGTGTCAATAGGACAACCCAGAAGCTTAGCTAATTTCTGACAGTTTGTCTTGGCAAGACCTGGAGGGGCCACAGCCCAGCCATTGTAACTCGTACCACTCTCAGCAATAGCTCTATGGAAAAGTCCTGCAGGGCAGAAAAATAAAATGAATAAACATGATTAACAAAAATAACTTTTAAGAAGTGGTATCTTTGTCCCATTATTCATTCCCAATTTCAGTATTCATTCACAATGTAAGTTAAAGGAGTTAAAAGCTATTAATAATACTACCTGTAGTCATCGGAGATACGGTATGATGGTAGACACTCCCTGCTCCAGCACTTTCGCCGACTATGGTCACTCTCTTCGGATCGCCCCCAAACCTGGCAATGTTCTTCTGAACCCATTTCATTGCCATCACTTGATCCTTCAGTCCTTGGTTTCCCGGCATTGTTTTGTCCTCAAAGCTGAGAAAACCTTATAAATAAAAAAATATATATAAGCTAGAATCAAGCAAAATGTTTTTTTTTTGTTTGTTTATCAAGCCAAGTAAATATGAATCTAAGAATAATGAATACCTCCACGAAGCAATCCCTAGATTCTTGGGAGCAGAAACTGCTGAGATTAAGGCATTCTTTAAAGACTGCGCCAACCGTTTAATTTGTCACATTAACTTATGTCAATTACATTAAATGCAGTGTGAGAATAGGGGGGCGGGGTGACCGAGCGGACTAACAACACACTAATAACGTGTGTAAAACACGCGTTGTCCAGCAACCAGAGGATTGAGGAACCGAAGTTTATTAGATCCAAAATAATTGGGCGGCGGGATGGCCAAGTGAGCTAATGTGTGTGTGCATAGTACTGTGCGTCGCCCAGCAATGTAATATCCGAAGTTTCAAATTCCGTTACCCGGAGGGTATTTTAACTCGGCATAATTCCCCCGCCCTCTCCCCTGGACCGGCAAAACCCCGGAAAAGGCAAGAGAGGGGAGAACAAAAAAAAAATCCAAAATAATTATGAGTTCGCGTCTCGGTACCGGTGAAGCTTTTAACTTTGGCATTTTTCGCTGCCCTCTCCCTCTAGACTGAAAAAAAAAATAAATGCAGTGTGAAACCAGTATGTGTCTTTTAAACACGATTCTGCCTACGAAATCGTCTACTAATTTTCTGTTAAAAGAAATTATTTGATGTTGAACATGATTTAACCAGCAGTGTCCACGGTATTATTATATACAGCTTCCTAAAATAATTTAACTTCTTTAATGTGTGTCTCACCTAAGAACGCAAGTCTGTTATTCACATCCACAATAACAACATCCTTGTCCATCATATAAGTAGGTAATGTTTTATGTTCAGCATCACCACTGTTCCAACCTCCTCCATGAAAATGGATCATAACAGCATTCTTGCTCGTTCTCTGTAAAGAGGATTAATCTTACTTGTAGGATTACATTCCTTTAATTAAGTAACTAATTTTAAGAAATTATCTAAATTTATGGTGTCCACGAATGCTCATAATTTTTTAACCTTGCTGTTGAGGTATCATTAAAAATAAATAAATAAATAAAATTTTAAAAAATACTTTTTACCCTGTGGGTGTACACAGAGAGATATAGACAGTCTTCCGTTCCAAAAGCCACAGGATCGATTTCAAAAGTGTTTACTTGAAGGCACCATGGACCTGGTTGAGTCGCATTTCTGATCCCTGTCCACCTTTCCATCTCTTCTGGAGGCTAAAAAGTAACAAAATCTTCGTGGTTCTTAATGACACAATAATACCAAGAAGAAACAGCAAAAACAAAAAGTGTAAATACCTCGAACCTCCGAGACCCAACTGGAGGCTTGGCAAAGGGAACACCAGAGAAGGCTAAAAATTTACGTCCTGCCCTAGAGGTCATCCAACGGCCCTGCAGTTTACCATGTGTGGTTTCTACTATGAGTGGATCATCAGCAGCTAGCGAGGCTGTAATAAACAGCAAAATAGCTGTGGCTGTCTGGAATATGATCATTATAGTTCTGGAAATAAATTGAAAGTTACAATCATACAATATTTAAAAATGAAATATTAATTTAATTCCAAACGAAAAAATCCAATATTCGTTTAGAAAAACAAAAATTGATGTCTTGTTTAACATATTAGACCATAACTCAACTTGGGAATAAATATATAAATATCACATGCATAAAAAAAATATGATTTACATGGAGTCGAGAAGTGAGGAAGTTTAACATATAAATAAATGATCTTTTAAGGAGACAGAAAGTTTTCAGAAAGGAATATTAAAAATATAAGACATAAATATAACATTTCTTATAAATAAATACCTCCTACTGTACTATTGCCTATTTAAATAGTAGAAATATAGAAATATGTTTCCATTATCTGTTATCTTTCCGTCTTAATGAGAATTTTGACCTTGCTGTTTATTTATAGCAATCTCCAAACTCACCATTAATTATGTTCTTACAAAAGCAAATGGAATATCGGTTAGTTGCATATTTTGTATTAGTTTTAATCCGCGTTATGTGAACAATGTGAAATAGAAGTCGAATTCAACTAAATGTATTTATTTATTTTTTGCGTATGTTTGAACAATATTCAGAGAGTTGAATGTAGGTGTTCATTATTTTTTTAGATGTTCAATGTTTTTTTTGTTTTTTTAATGCCTTTTCTAAGCATTCTTATTAATGAGTTTCATCGTGTACACTGGTTACAAAATATTGTGCATATCATAAAAAGAATAATTCTTTTTGACATGTTTTTTAACTGAACTAAATATCCTTCATAACAAGGAACCTATATAGTTTAACGCAAACTTCTGTAAATGCATTAAATAAAGTTACTCGCCAGTGTGGCTCAAACAAATCCGAGCTTTTAAAAAATGAACGAATAATTGTTTTCAACTATCACACTGTAATACAAAACTAGCTGGAAAAAAAAAAGAAGTAAAAGTTGTTAGCACAGAGATGGGCAAAATCGGAATGATTACATAATTACAACTGAAACTAAAACTTAATCTCTATACCAATTTTATAGTTGATTCAATGGGACTATAGCTATAGCAAAAATTTGACATGATTATCTGATCACAATCGTAATCAGAAACCTGATTCCGATTGTAATCGTGTAATCAAAATCATTGTAATCGTAATCATAATTACTGAAATCGTAATCGTTGATTTATTAATGCCCATCTATGTGATAGTAACCTTTCAAAATTGGATGATTTCATGTAGATTGAAACACAGGGTGCAAGTTGCGGCATTAAAATATTGAGTTGGCCACATTTATACGAGGTTAAGAATATTTGGAGGGAATCTATTAGAAGGAACTCTCAATCCAGGGAAAAACGTCTGCCAAGTAAGACCAGTATAGTTTCCTAAGTTTCCATTTGCTATTAAATTAAATTGAATTTATATTAAAAAGTCTAAAAATTTTCTCATAAGAATAAAATCTCTGTAAGAAGCCGTTTTCGGAAATTCAGTAATCCCTCAATATATACGAGCTTAAGCAAAATATCCACGATTTTTTTTTTTTTTTTTTTATCAGCAAATACTAAAATTAGTACTAACAATAAATACTAAAAGTTCCTCATTTGCAGATTGCAAATTTGATAATCCGACCTTAAAAAAAAAAAATTAAAACAGTGCATTACTGAATATTTATCTCGCAGTGCAAATGACGAATGTAAAAATTGCGTGTTTTACAGGAGAGCATAAAAACAAATTATTTCTTTATGATTAATTAGTGTAATTTTATATTTTATTGCTCTCTGCTATTTTTCATAGTAGTAGACTACTTATGCCAATTGCAGACTACATAATGTCAAAAATAGAATAAAAATTGAAAACTTTTACGGACGACCTTAGCACTAACAGAAGTGATATATACTAAATAGGTATGTTTTCAGTCGTAAAATGGATGGAACAAAAAATCCATAGAAATAGTTGAACTTTTTGTTTGTTCGGAGTTAACAAGACGGATACTTTTCTTCAGTCAGAACAAAACTAATTAATCTTAAATATAAATATATATTTGAAGTTGACACAATTTTGATATTTAAAAATAAAATCGATACCATGACGAGCTGTTTGAACTTTAATGGAAATAAACACAATTACAAATAAGGCTTTTTTTTTTACAGATTCAGAGTAAAAATTATTTTAAATTGCAAGAAATCTAAGTTACCGTAGGAAGTGTCAATCCAATAACGTTTGGAATCGGCAAACAATACAGTATAAATTCATTTTTTGATTAAAATCTAAAAATTTTTAACCCCATAACAATATTTTAATATCTAGAGACCGGATTTCGTGCAGTAAAAACTCAAAAAGTGGAAAATTGTCAATTTCATTTTTATTTTAATACATAATATGAAAAATAGTTTTTTTTTTGTTTTTTTTATAATTTATAATATTATTGGTTGTTTAATCCTGTGTTAAGAGTTATAGCCTTTAAATTGAAGTTAGATATAACGTGTTGAGAAAAGTCTTATTCTAATTTAAAATGAAAGATGATTAAATTATACCAGTATGAAAGAAAAGCAGCTTACAAAAAATTAATCAAATATTTTTATTATACGTTGCATTTTTGAATTGAAGCTTGTAACAGGTGTAGATAAATTTAAGTTTAAAAAAAAATAGATGTTCAGTTAAGCTCCTTAGCTTTGATTAAAAACCATTGTCTCTCACGTAACTCGGTGACGATTTGTCAAAGAACATTAAGCCAAGCGGCAATAAACTTTTGTTGGTACTTAGCGTCAAAACCTCCCTTCTTATCTAATCTCATTTCCCATAACCTCCCTTATCTCATCTAACCTAAGTTATTCCGTTGTTTATTTTTTTCCCCTTGTTTAATTGTGTTAGCTGTGAGTGAGTGTTAATTAATTATGGATGTTGTCACATTGTGGGAATTGCCGTCTTCAGAAGAAGAGGCTAACAAATATTTTCAAGACGCCGGGATATTTGCAAAGGTCAAATATTGTGGTTAAGGTCATCAAATGAAGTTCGACGGGAAGATTAAATGGAGATGCTTTCGTAGTTGTAACAAAATCGTTTCTATAAGGAAAGGAACGTGGTTAGAGGGGTCGAGAATTTCTTTTTTAACAGCTTTAAAATTCATTTATAGGTGGTCCTTTAACTTAACAACAATACAGTGGGGGAAAGAGCAGCTCAAACTATCCAACGCAACTATCAAATAAAATTTCAAATCATACAAAATTTTTCATATTTTGTTTATATCGTATCTTGGTATATCGTATAGTGTTTCTTTTATATGTACATATGCTGTTTAAGTGGTTTTTTATTATTTCACCTATTTTTGTCTATTTTTTTGCGCCTATTTTTATTCTTTCATTTATTTTGATACTAGTAGGCCCGTGCGAAAAATTCGCATAGCATATTGTTATCAAATGCCAGATTAAAAAGAAAAGAAAATAATCCAATCTATCAAAAGATAAAGAAATCAAACGATACTATATCGATAAATATAATCGACAAAGAAAACAAAAATTAATTTAAATCTTTATTTTTGTTTGGAACCAACATGTTTATAAATTTCAGTAAGCTGTATCTTTGCTAAAAATTGTCCGATTTCGATGATTTTTTTTTCCTTTTGTAGGGAATTAAGTAATCTTTTATATAATTACAGGCATAACCAAGGGGAAAATGTGTAATTATTTAGTTATTCCCAAATAAAGTTTGTTTTCTTTTATAACTTTTTTGTCCCAATTTTCGGTATGATTGGACTATTTTGTCCGCCTGAAGGAGAAGGAAGTCTTCGAAATTGGTGGCTCAATCTTGAGATTTGGTGAAAAATTGACGATATGGCTTGCCGATCAAAAACACCATCGATAAATAATATAAACTCCTCCTCTCTCGATCATAGAGACCTCAAGTCGACGAAATGAGACATGTAGTCAATGACAGTACTAAAATAAATATGAGGTTGTGTGGATGCGAACCCTATGCCTTGCGTTATCTCGAAAATAATACGTTTTTGGGCTTGAAAACGCAGAATCCGATAGTTCCAGAGGAACTATCCAGGTCTTGCTGTTCGCATTAAAATCTTCTAGATCCAATTTGTCCCTTATCGATCTACAGACCTACCACTGTTCAGGTATTGAAGCCTAGTAAAATGTTTGTATCGACTTTATTTATTTTAGAAAGAAAAACAAAAGTGGAGAATACGATTCGCTAACCCCCCGTGAAATTATGAATCCAACGGTACCCCATTCATGGTATTTGAGCATGACAGGAGCTTATATTTGGTACAAAACCGTTTTCGTAATGTTTTTTAATTATATATTTACAATGTTTTGGTATATTTTAATATATATGTTGTAAAATAAAAGTATTTTTTTATTATTACATTTGTTTTAGTTTTTGTTCACAATTTCAATAATATCAATACAATACAACACTAGCGGATCCAGGATTTAATTTTGGGGGAGGGCTTCAGCCCGAAAGATTTTTTTTTTCGTATACATATAACGAAAATTAATTTGAAAAAAAAAGAAAGAAATTAACTACGTATATGAAATGGTGTTTAAGTGATTCTTGAAGTTTTATTAAATGTAATTACACGAACAAGAATACTTATCCGAAGAGATAGTTTATCATATTTGTTTTTTTCTGTAAAACATATTTATATTTTGCCATTTTGAGGGGCTTCAGCCCGAAAGACCCCTCCCTCCCCCCCGTAGATCCGTCTGTGCAATACAATAAATATGAATAATAATAATAAGGCTTAGCGAACCCGAAGGTTCGATGCCGACACCACCAATCGCTTGTTACACACCTCCCTCCACCGTTCGCCGTCCAAACCCAGTCCCTTCAGATCGGCTTTAATGCAATCTTCCCACCTTCGCTTCGGTCTACCCCTCGGACGCTTACCATTCGGCACAGCAAATATTAACCTTTTAGGAATTCTCTCGTTACTAAGCCCAACAACTTAACAAGCCCATTTGATTCGCCGCGATGAAATTACATCAATTATATTACCCGGATA